GAAGACATAAATTAGATTTTTTTTCCCCTTTATGTAATGTCATGATTTATCTCAAATAAAGAAACTGGGGGTATCTCATTTGTTTTTAAAAACACCTTCAAAGAAAAGTGAACTGCATTTTGACATGGAATTTACCAAGATGTGGTCAGCAGTAAAATAATGAAACACTTTAGTCAAACAAGTAAAGAAACAGCAGCAACGTGTGAGCCATTTCTGATCCTCGTATCTTTTTGTTTGTTGGTTCTTTAAGTTTTGAATGTTAACGCCACTGGGGGATGTAAGGAATCAGTTTGATGCCTTTAAGGTTCAGTACTCCAATACCCCATCCACACATCTCCTCATCCGTGGCATGCCTGCTATCACTGCATTGGAGGCCTTGTGCTGCAGGGAAGCAAATTCACAATGTTAAGCCTTTTCTCTCTACACCTCTTTCTTCCACTGACTTTCTTTTCCTCCTCTCATTAGTTCAGCACACTGTATGTTGTGTCTTTCTGGCACACTTCTAAGTGTCTATGTGCATGTGTGTGTTTGTTGCCATTAGAGAAAAGTAATTCAGTGCTGGCTGTCAATCAGCCAAGACACAATTGTCAATTTTTGTGTCGGCATGCACCAGGCTTATGGTAAAATAATGACAGCAGAAGTCTCAAGGCCAAGCAGATAAAAAAAAATGGTGAGGGAGGAAGCTTGACTTCTGTGTGTACTTACGCAAAGACGGTGTGGATTTTTCAGTCGCAGCGAGAGCAAGACAGCAAGAGACAACAAAAGTGGGGGGGGCACAGTGTGAATGTCAGGGACAAGCGTTAGGAGTGAAAGAGTGCGAGGCAGAGATGGTGAGGGATGAGGGATAAAGAGGGAGCAGGGAGGAATAAATCAATAGTGCATGGCTGTGGGATGAAGGGCCGTTTGCTGCCAGTGTGTGATTGACACCTCACTGGGGTGCTGTTTCTGAGATGATGCTCATCCTCTCTTCCTGATCCTGACACCTCCCTGCACCACCTACTTCCTCCTCCTCCTCCAGCACGCCCTGCTGCCCTGGAAGCTCCTCTCCTCCTCTACATCCTGAAATCATTGCAGGCTGTTTACATTTAAAGCCCCCCCCCCCCCCCCAAGTATGTGGTATTTTCCTTCCTATATTGTGTCTTTGTTAAGTTAATTTGTGTGTTGATTGAGTAAATATTTTTTGGGGATGTGGTTAAGTCTATTTTCTCATTGTTTGTCCTTGGGTAAGACTTCCAAATCAAGCACTGAATTATATTTGAAATGTTAATGTTAAGCGAATCATCTCCTGGCTTAAGCGCCATAATAAATACAAAAATATGAGAGTGCTATCAATTTGATATGCAATTCTCACCAACAAAGTGAGATAGGAAGTGTATTCCCACAACAATTCTAGTTACTGCAGTTACTACAGAGCCAGAATCCCGATGCCACATCCTGTCATCCACTAACTTCTCTTTTGATGCTTTTATCAAATATATTCTTCCATGCATGTACCTTGTTCTCATTAATACATGGAAATGTCAAACAATATGTGAGAGTTAAACAAAGAGACTTCAACGGCCTCAGCAAAAACATTGATGATTATTAAAAGAAAAAGGAAACAGAAAAGAAAAAGGGAAAAAGTGAGCATATACATATATACACATATACATACAAATATACATACACATACATAAGCACATATACATACTGTTTTACATATGCGCATACATGCATGTTAAACAAATGAATATTTATATTAACATTAACTGATTGCAAATTGGATTTAGAGATTACACAGACCTCATAATGCAAATAAACTTCCCTGGGGGGTCAGAGAAGAGGTTTACCTTAATTTGTGTAATCGCAGTATTCAGTCAATTTCCCCCGCTTATTTCTGCCATGTACATGTATCATTGATTCCAAGTTGCATATGTTATACTTTCCATGATGTGTACTTGATTGACCAGATCTTTTCATGTTTGTATTTGAATGTGGCTACAGAAAAGATATGTTTTGATGATTTGTCATAAAATCACAGAACAGAAAAGCTGCCTTGCTAGATATGGAAAAGTACACAGCAATATAAAGAACACATTTCTTTATGACATGTATTAGCCACTGCACTCAACAGAGCTTCATTTAACTGAGATCAGTGACCTGGTTTTGATCCTAAAAAATGTCCTTCTTACAAATGGAAGTTTCAGACAGTTCAATGTCCCCTTTTATGGAAGTTGCATTAGTGATATAAAGGAGTCATCAAGGTCATCCACTTTGAATTTACTGTGGTAAAAGCTTTGAAGCCAGACAAATCTTTATTTAAAATCATGTCAATTTCAGTTTTTGTTTGTATATTTTGTGTTGTGTTGTTGTCGCAGAGTCCACAATTTAAAGGAGACATATTATGCATATTCAGGTAGATAATTTTAATTTGGGTTATTACTTGAAAAGGTTTATTTGCTCTAATGTTCAGAAAAAACATCACTTTCCTCAAACCGCTCATTCCTCAAACGAGCAGAGTTTTCTGTCGGGCAGAGGAGCCCCTTTTACTGCAGACCAGGCACGTGCACAGATAGACCCCTAGTGGTGCTCAAGCACCTGCCCTTTTGCCCTGGATGAGAAAAATGCCCTTTCTGCTGGAGCCCAATTATTTACTTCATTCTAATTTTGGCAAAGGGTGCCTTTTTTTTTTGCTTGAGCGCCTGCCCCCAAAAATGTCTGTGCACGTGCCTGCTGCAGGCTTTTTAACATTGCAGACCTTTTACATTTACAAAAAGATATATATAACATATAACAAGTATTACATGTGTCCTTTAAGAGTCTAGAGTTGTGTTGGATTGGCAGAGACTGCAAACTATCTTGTGATGTGATCACACCAGCTACATGAATACTCTGTACTCATTAAATATTCACATCAACTAATTAGTAGTAGTAGTAAAAGTTGTGGTTGCTAGGTGACAGCAAAGCATGTTACCAAAACTACTGGTTAGCCACACACTGAACCATTGTGTGAATGAGCTACAGAATACTGTATCCATGTTGTTGATTAAAGTGAAGGTATTTAAGAATGTCTCTATCTTTCTTAAGTCTTGGCAGCAGATGAACATCACTTTTGTTACCAATATACAAAAACAATTCTCACCAGGGTCCATCACCTCTGCCATCAGACATGTTTCTCCTCTGACAACACTCATCACTACAATGCTGTCAACTGACAGCTAAAAAGCTAATGAGAGAGAATGAACTTTCTTCAGAACATTTTATCACAATAATCAGCTGTAATCTATATTTAGCCACTTTCAAACATCCATGACTTGACAGCATAACACACCAACAACTAATGAGGGCATAATTACACAATAAAAGTGATTCCAGTATCCTGAAATCTCAATTATGAAACATTTCCAATTTTCAGAATCTGAAGAATTACACAAACTAATGAGATTTTGGTTGACTTCTTTGTTCATATCTAATATGATTGTTGGAGATGGTCTGGGTTACACACGTCCAGAACATTCAGACAAGGGAGTAGGAGTAGTGTTTTTGTTCACAGCATCAACATCAGTGTCAGCCCTTTCACCATACACTCCTGATTTTATTTTACAAGTGTATGGAACTTCCCGAACACATGTTCACTAATCATAGATGCAAAATAAAGCATCCTTAAGCTTTGATTGCAACCCTCTCACAGTGATTTGGTCCACTTTTTTTCCCACTGCACCAAAACAACAAATAAGTATGAGGACCCCAGTGATATCAAATGCAAATGTATATAGGACAGTAATGAGGTGCTTATGGAATGTTTCAATAATGTTTCATCAGGCAAAGGCAACTCAGAGAGAGGAGCTGAGCACAGACAAGCAAGGACAGTCAGACAGAGGCATAGACTCTCAGGTGCTTGTGTTAGTTTTTGTTTCCCAGTTATGAAATAAAAGCCCTCTCATATTTAGACTTGTAAACAACAAGACATTCTTGGAGACAGACTGTTCGGGGTCACTGAGGGTGGTGGAAGGGTCAGATCCAGGGAGGGAGCCAGGTGTCTGGGGCCCAGCACATCATGAGGACCCTATTGCTATTAAAATTTTAAGTAATTACTGTTTTCATTATAAATTCATCTGCTAATTATTTTTAGCATTAATTATTTTCAAGTTTAGTTGTTTATTTTTTAAATGAAAATACTGAAAATGTCTGTCATAATTTCTCAAAGGCCAAAGTCTTCAAATTGCTTGTTTTCTATAAACCAACAGACTAAAACCCAAGACAACATATTTAAAAAGAACAAACAGGAAAGGCAGCAAAGGCTCAGACAGATGAAGATGGAAACTACGACCGTTTTTCATTAATGCACAATAAATGCTCTTTTTGATTTATCCCTTTGTAGAAATGTAGGTCAAGTCTTTCCAGCAGTACCTCTCAAAACCACTGTCTGGTGGTTCATTGTTCATGTGAGTAATACACACGTATACTGGCTACTTCCTATTTTCTGGTCTCTCACTGTGCACCTGCAGTTTCATTGCCATCATTTCCTCTTTCTCACAGGCTCATCAACATCTAACCCATTCAGCCAATTAACCACTTCACCATCTCCATGCATGAACCTGAGTGTCACTTCCTCAGCGGCACACCTCAACCACCCCCTCCTCTCCCAATGCTGGCCACCAGATGGCAGAGAGACAGATCCATCATTGCTTGTGAGGAGTGTCACGTCTGTCACCCATCTTGGCGTAGCGCGCAGCGCCTCAGGGCGTGTCCGTGCCAGTCCCGGTGCCAGGGATCATGGGCATGTCAGCTGTTGCACCTCCGATTGGCACAGCTGCAGATGCTACTCATTTGCAGGTTAATGTATTTTGGGGGGGGAGTTGTGTCAGAGCTCTGGTGAGTGAAGCAAGCCAGCCATCCAATTAGAGCAGAACAGATTAGGGAGCTTTTTATATTTCGCACAGCTGGAGCTACAGCCACAGGTGGGTGAATGTATAAAGGGGCAGTTGTGTCCAGAGCGAGATTAGAAAACAGTTTCTTACTGTGAAAATCGTGTTATAGTTTTCCGTGTTTGTCCGTCTCTGGCAGGCGTATTGGGAAACTTTGACCTCAGGAGTGGGTATAGAACATTCTGGAAGTACTGGCACAGTGTCCTGTGTAAAAAAATAACCACAGACTCATGAACACACACATACACGGTCATAAATTGTCATTATTTCTGAGCCCTTGCAAATTGTTGTCAGGCTAAATGTGTGTAAGGTTTTTCCTGACTAGCGCAGAAGCCGAGCATTCAAATTGAATTACATTAAAATGTAGCCATTTGCCTTGGAGAAGTTATTTTTATGACTGTGTGTCTCCAGGGCAACAGGCTAATGACACTCATCTCACAGTCTGGTGGCATCCAAATCCATTACACTACCTAACCCATGGCATTACAAATCTGCTTGCCATCATCCAATTTGCCTCCTGTAAATTGCCTTTTCATTCTATGAAGAAATGGTTCCCCATTTATAATATATGTGTCAAAAGGATTACCAATGTAATATTAATATTCTTGCAGACAATTAGACATCACAAAAGAGAACATTGTGTCCATAAAATTGCCCATGGAATAGGTGGGAGAATGATATAAAAAAGGGGAGGAAGAGGAGGAAGAGGAAGATGGAGCGATTGTCGCCACACTGTGTTGACTGGGATCGATGCTGCAGAGGGAACAAGAGTGTCTCAAAAACATAATGAAAAGAGCTGGTACCTCTCACAGAGCTGGGCTGTATCAATCAGTAAGGGATTCAAAAAATTGTTCATCATTTATTCTCTGCCAGGAGCCCTTCCTGTTCTCCACAAAAAAAAAACTGAATAACTGAATATATTTCACGCCACAATTGTTCTGCCAATCAAAAGTAAAACTGCCTTGGAAACTCCCTAACTGCGTTGCTTGTAAATACAACAGGAGGTTCTCCCTCACTTTTCCACCACAGCTATAGTTTGTTAAATCCAATATGGGATTGTGCATCCATGGAGACAAACGTCTGTACATCAGCATGCAGAAGTTGCTTTTCCCATCTGGCCTTGCTTATTATACAGCCCCATAACTCTGTGGAAGCTCTTACACCGATCTTCCAGGCAGTGAACCCCCCCCTGGCCCTCTCTCCAGTGTCCTCTCCACCTCTGCTGTACGACTCAGATGTAACTAATATGTGCAGTCTACATGCCGCAGCTTCATTTCTCCACACACCATCTGTCGAGATGAGATAGTAACAACTGTAAGCGTTGCAGGACCTCGCCCACTCCTGCGCCCTCCTGTAAACTGCAGAGGCACTCCACGCCGTCCATGATAATGGCTGTCACGCAGAGTGCACTCAGGTGGGTAGATGAAATCCTCCTGGGCTGCTGAGCAGGTCAAAGGTCACAGAGGCTCCACTTCTAAAGGGAGACTACTTGTCACTGCACACACGAACCGACACCTGGTCCTCTGCCATTTTCTCTACATATGCATCAGATCACATTTTCAACACGTTTTCCATGGCTACACAGATCACATGCAAATAAACATGCCTGTTGATTGGCTCTGACTGCTTGAGGTTGGATGAAGGAGGGGCTAAGAGAATCAATGTGCTGCAATAAAAAAAGATTTAACTAATCTGAAAGTGGTGGGTCGTCACAAATAATAAATGCATATGTGATCACAACATCATTCTTCCACATGCGCAATGTTGTGACGACGATCTCTCTCATTTAAGCTGCACTGTACTGACCCCAAATTTATTTTACATTGAATCTGAAGATCCTTTTACTCACAAGCTCTTTTATCTATTTTTATATATGATACAACACCTTCATACATTTCAAACACTTATATCACCACTTATAAACCAATTAGTGCTCTTACATTGACTGATACTGGTACTTTGGCTTCTTCGAAGGCTAACAAAATGAGTTGAGACCATATTTTACGACCACTGTATGCTCTAATACTGTGGCACACCCTGAACAGTTCCAAGCTTTGTTGACAGTTTTAAACATGTACTCAAGACATAGCTGATTCAAACAGGTTTTGAGTTAATGTCGGTGCATTTTTACGTCATCTAACCAATTAGTGAGAGTAGACACATGTTCACAAGCCACATACAAACTCTAAATCCTTGGAAATCATTTCCATTTTCTTTTACAGCATATTCTTCCATCTTCCCACCTCTACACTTAAATAGGTTAAACATCTTCTCTGCAAGCCAAGACATAATGGCACATGTTACATTTCAATACATTTAAAGCTTAAAATTCCTTCCTGAATTCCTATAGAATATTTGTGACACGAAAACACATTGAATTTCCAAACTGTCAAAAGGAGCTGCAGGCAAATGTGGCCGGGAAGTAGCCTGTATGGGAGCATTTTATCTCTATAGCTCGCAGATAAATGCCACCGCATATTACCTTGTTGGCTTCGAAGAGGAACAGCATCACAAAACAAGCAGAGAAGGCTTTTGGTTACCCGGGGAGATGGGTCAATAAATGCCAGCATGGCCTCGTTAGCCTTGTCACTTAATGATGCAGTCAACTAGAAGCACGCCACTGATGTGCCACACTCACGTGCTTGTGTGGAAACAATGCCATTGCAAGACAAAGACACTTGGGGGGTATTTCGTACTGAGGCATATACACAGCAGATGTCATTGTGATCGTTAAGGCCGTCACAGACAAGCGTAACGAGTTGAGTATTTTCTTCTTTCCACTGTGGGAGGAAAAGGAGATAAATATGTCTTTATTTTGGACCCACATGCTTCATAGTGCCATCCACAGAGAAAATGTGTGTGTCAATGTGTTTCAGTTAGTGGGCTGCTCGGAACCTCGACATCCAGCTGATTGCTTTATCTGACACTCCCATGCAATATGGGGGGAGTTTCTGTTGCTATCAGCAAGGTGAACTGTAGAACTATGAACAGAGACAGAGGGAAGTTAAATTTGTTCTCCCTGTCAGGGGGCTGACATTACACATTAGACATCATAGTTTTGCAGGGTGAAAAGGAGAGGCTTGTTACATATAGTCATAAATCATATGAAGGAATAACTTCGGAATATGCATTTCCTGTACAAAAATTTAAAATGATCCTTTACTCAAATAAAATCTGACATTTCTAATGAAATAAATCCTGTATTGTTAGTTGTGCCATATCTGCATAGATACTGTTTAGTTTGTGCGAAACACACAAACCTGAACAAGATGTCTGGTCTCCACAGCAACAGGTCTCCCCTCTCTCATGCTGTCAGTGAACCAGCTGATGTCCAACACGTGCACGCTGGGTAGATTCTTCAGATCGCAGCCCCTCAGCCATGTCCACAGTGACAAAGCCTGGCTGTTCTCTGACACAACATGAGTGACCGTATCGCTGAGGAGAGAGGAAGACAAGATCTGTCAGAAGGGTCACGGTTCAGTTTGTGGTCTCGTGCAGGTCAGTCAAAGCTCTTTAAGAAACGAAAACATCTATAAACGAAAAGACAGTTTAAAATTTACAGAGCATCGCTTGTAAACCTGCGATTTCTGATCTTCTTTCCTGGCTGCAGCAGGAAGAGGCTGTGAACACCAACATAGTTTTTACCTTTTAAGTTGGTACAGCTAACTTGTTAACAAAATGTTGCGCACTTGCATGTCAAGCAGACAGTGAAATTTGATTATTTAACATTTAGTTTCATGTAACTTTATTTATTTACTCTCCTTTTAGCTCTGTTTTGGTCTCCATCAGCATCTGAGAGACATATCTTGCTCTTTTGTTGCTTAATGTGCCCGTGTGAGCAAGCTATTTGACCTAACGAGCTGAAAGAGAAAGTTCAGTTACATGACAATTTGTGCATTTAACTCCATGAGTGACCCTTTTTCAAGTAGTCATATGATCAATTGTCAATACAAACATTTTGATTACGCTAGCTGCTTCAACAGCCGTTATCTTGGTGTCACATCTCTAAGAAATTTAATGACCATAAAAATAATTATAGTTTGGATCAAAACATTGTTCTCTAGTATTTATCCTGTTGATTACCATTGTTTTTTATTAGATTGGACTGACAGCAGCCCAACACACTGTGATGGCCACACCTGTGGCTTCACAACTAATCTAAAATGTCAGTAACCCTCTGGCGCTCACACTAAGTTTCTTTCAGTTCATTTAGTTTACATTGTTTGAAGCACATGGCGGAGCACAAAGAACAACACACATGGATTTTGTTTTAAACAACATACACACATTTTATTTAGCCTTTCCACGGTACATTAGTTCTATTTGTAGCATGCATATTGTGTTAACTTTCCTACAATCATTATTTTGTTTGTTAAGTTAAACTGCTTTTCTAATTTATCTTTTCTTTGAATTACCAGTGCAAAGGGTGCTGTTGCAGCCCAGGGGCTTCCTAAGAGGCTTGGGCAAAAGGATCCACCCCCAGGAAGCACAGCCCTTTTTTAAGGAAGTGGCCAATTGGGCCAAACCAAGTGCCGGCCACATCATGGGGGGATTTGAGGATTTAGTTTAGAGTTTAGTAATGCTTTGGGTTATATTAGTTTACTGAATTATTTTGTTAGGCTAGAAGAAGGATTTATTTATACTGACTATCTGATTGCCCTGATTTATTTTGTTGGTAATTTAGTCAGTAGTGTTTCCTTGTGTGTAGTTGGTCTGATCAGCCACTATATATGTGTCCTTATGTGACTAGTTTAGGGGGGGTCTGTTTTGTCTTTTGTTGGGCAGTCATTCTCTTAGTTTGTTTCAGTTAACTCACTTTATATTGAGTTTATTGTTTGATGTAAGTTCTGTTAGTTTGACCTCTTTTATGGGCCCAGACTTTTGTTCTATTTTTGTTAAGTATTTTTCTTTCGCATTTTTGGTTAAATAAAACCCCTTTTTTTTCTGAAAAACACCTGTGTTCCTCATCCTTGCCGACTCAACACACATGCACACATGGTAAAATTCTCATTGGTGCACACAGGCATGTCACATCAAGGCCTCCTATTCCAAAAGCAGTGAGGGTTAGGGTTAGCACCGAAGCACAGAAAAAAACTCCCATGTGAAAAAACAAAAACTGTGTCAGAAGTGATTAAGAGAATATGTTTCCAGGGCCTGAAGTGATTTCTCTTTATGCAAAACATAAGCAGTTAGAAAACCTTGATTCCACATTTACTGATTGACAGCATACCATGAATTGCTTGCTTCACTGTTTGATTTCGTCAAATATACTTTTCCTATTTTGACCTTAGAAAGCTTTATAGAGTGAAAATGTTCCAGTGACGCTTTTGAAATGCAGCTCAGATCATGGTCATGATCAACACTGGGTGAACAATCAGCACAGAACATCAGTGTCTCTTTCAACTGTTTGATAGCTGAGCGCTGAACTCATTCAACCATTGCCTTCTATAGCTCCGTCGAGACTTTCAACAGACTCTTTATCATGGCCTCCTCCCCTCTGCTTCCTGCAACAGTGTCTAAGTACCGTACCCAATCAGAGCGCCCAGCCGTGTATAATTACCCTGTGCACACTCCTCCTCTTCCTCTCTCCTGGCGTGGGTAAATCAGCGGAAAGACTCCTTAAGGGGAGGTCCCAGCAGAGCTCAGGCTGAGGCCTAATTGATCAAATCACTGACAAAACTAATCCTCTATCTGCTTGGCATTATCAGTCAGGTCACTGATGGTCCATGTTTTAAGAAAAAAGAAAATCACGGTGCAAAGGAATTGACAAATACATGAATCTCTACAATAGACACGTTTGAGGAATTTAGGGGACACAAAAGCCTAAATTCAATTGTCTGACCACAGTAATAGATATTTGGCTAAAGGGTTGATTTCCTCTAAAACTGCTAAGGGGTTGAGTTGCTCTGCTGGAACAAGATTGGAGATCTAAGGGTCGAAAAGCACTCTCTACTCGTGTCATGTTTACCAAGATATAAAATTTGGATCATTATCTTAATGCGTAGCCACACAGAATGTAAAATGGCAGATTGACATGCAAATGAGGTAGAATGCAAGCCCAGCACCAGATTGAATCAGTGGGACTCAGCCCAGACACAAGGACAAGCTAAAGTCGATGGGCTTTGATATGGAGAACTCTCTCGATCTCATCTCTCTGCCCTGTTCTTGTCAGCAGCTACCCACCTGTCCCTTCCAAAAGGGAAAAACAACAATCAAATCAAAGACTGAGTGTGTCCATAACAGATTTTTACACTATGGCGAGGTTTCATTTGTTTGTCTTTAGCAGCTGCTCTTACAAGACAACATCTGAGTTATTGGCTACACAATCACTGTAAGAAGGAAGATAAAATGCATCACATTTACAAATACATACTTGAATTTATTAGATTAAACTTGTTATGTATGAATGCTGCATTAGAATTATGCAACAATCCCAAATTGTCCATTACACAAATAGTACTGGGACTTAGTAGCTGTACACTGCGGCTTTTTTTTTTCGTGTCTTTGGCAAGAATGCTGTTTAGCTTGGGAACACGGACTGTATATAAAGATGTCAAAAATGTCTCCACTTCTTCCTACTATCCAGAAATGAAGCCTTAATATCCCGGATATGACCGCTGCCATCTTGTGCAGATGATGTCAGATTGAGTTAGAGTCTATCCAGTAGCGTTTAGGATGGAGCCGTGGTATCGAGATACTGCCAATGCTAATCACAAACTTGCACCCCGTTTTCTTAGCATTAAATTACTAACTAAAGCAAAACTCACAAAAAAAACCCAATAAAAACGACCTAAAATTTGATGTATTTTGACTTAATAGTTTAGCCCATGAGTCTTCCACTAACATGGAGGAGGCTGGGTTTATGACCTATACTGCAGCCAGCCACCAGGGGGTGATTGAGACGCTTTCGCTTCACTTTCGGGGAGGCTCATTCGTCCCTCTTTGTAAACAGTCTATGTTTGGGACCTGTTGGTTAAGCTTTTGCGAGGTTGCCGTTAAAAAGCAAGTCAGCTGAAAACATTAAAAAGTCAGAGAGAGCAGCACCAGCTGTAACCACAGTCAACAAAAGCAACTGTTGCAACCATCTGAAATCAAAAAAGTTTAAGTATAGCTAAGAATTTAGACCAGTCAATAAAGGCCCACTGTAGAGTACATGCTGTCTGACAACTGAAAGCATAGCAATTGTAACTGTAGGGGACAGGGCTTAGAAAGGGTTAATTATGGTGTTCATAGTGTGTGTGTGTGTGTGTGTGTGTGTGTGTGCGTGTGCGTGTGCGTGTGTGTGTTTTCATGTTTGTTTCCGTGCGTGTGTATGTGTAGGAGCATTAATAGCAGCTCATCAATCAGCCAGGACAAACATGTCGATATCTGGATCCAAGTTCATGTGCATCAGACTCGAAATTAGGACACGGGAGACTGGCGTGTGCATGTGCTTGAGCACATTCCACCATACACAGAGGAATGCACACAGTGCATCAGACCAAATGCTCGAGGCAGTGTGCCTATAATTTGTGTGAGGTTAGATAGGGGAGGTGTTTTTGTCAAACTGCAGCTGATATCAGTTTTGTCGGCTTGCAGAATTCATGACAGTTTGAGGCTGGCACACTCTACTTCCTGTCGTTGGTTTCAAACAATTGTATCAAGCCAAGTGTAACCATAGGAGCGATCAAGCTGTGTTTCTGGGAATGCTGCCATGGCCAAGCTGGTGCACGGCTGGCAGGAACAGTTAGACATGCATTTAAACACTCACACACACACACCTGTTGGGCATACTACACTCAAGAGGACCGGTTATTGACTACATTTAAACACTTGTTCATTTTATCTTAAGGGAAGTTTAATTTAGAAAAAACTGACCTCACTGTGAATTTCTAAAATTAAAAGTAAGAACACATTCATACAAAGACATCTGCTCACCAGAGGGGCTCAATAAGTCTGAATTTAAGTTGCCTAAGGGGTAGATTGAAAAAAAATGTGAGGTGGACATCAACAGTATGTCTATCCTCAAAGGAATCCTTCCTCTAGAGCGCTGTGGACGTCAAGCAGAGGGCTTCTGCTATGTCCACAGTTTGGGTTTTAAGAGATACTTTCAATTAGGGACAGAAAAAACTGATGAAGATGCTGCTTCCATAATTACCACACAATAGATATTTCATCATCGTACAAAACAAGCTTGCAAAAAAATCTCTTCTTAAGTTCAACTTAACAGACAACTTTCAACAAACTCATTAAAAAAGTTTGTGTGGGCTCTGTTGCCTGTCTTCCAATGTTTTTGTTTTCTCACAGCCAACCAGCTGTAGCTAGTTCAGCCCATTTCCTCCTCAGCTAAACCTATTTATGTAGGAGCTGAATTATGGCTCAGGGGCAAAATCCACTAAGGTGTAGCAGAGGCTAGATGGATGCCCTAACAGTGTCTAATCAAGTATTCATGAGACAACAGTGGCTCTTTAATTAGCTAATTGAACCTTAACTTCATAAAAAGAAGTGCAAGTTAAAAAAATTTCACAAAGTAACACTGAATATCTCACTAGAGAACTGGTCTTTTTATAAGGTAACAATTTTTCCAGGAGAACAGTCAATAAGAGGGTTAGAGATTGATATCTGAAATCTGACATTTGTTGCATTATCTGTCATTTTGTCTTCCACTCACAATAAATTAATGTTTATTTGAGCTCCAAAAACCGAGTCTTCATTTTACCTGAAACCACAGCCATGCTCGAGCAGGCTTTTAAACGGTATTGCGACCTCCAATTTCACTAGGGTAGCAATAAAAGCTTGAAAGCCAAGATCAAACCATTCTGGCTGGTACAAGAGCAAAAAAACACATCCCTATGAGCTCTACATTAATGTGGTTCTTTTAGCTTCACATTCAAAAGCTTTTAGGAGCCATGCCCTGCTTAGTCAGTAAACAATAAAGTGGAAAGCTTTTTCCAACCTGAGGACGTCCTCCACAATAAAGCCCTTTGACCTGGCCAGTTGGGTCAGAAAGCTTCTCCTGCTGTGTCCCATTTTCCTCTCCACCAGGTACAGTCTCACATCTTCAAACTTCACCTTTACAGGCCTGGAAACACCGTCTTCCAACGGCTTCTGCCTTTTCTTCACGCGAAGCACAATGGGAGATTGGAACATCTCTTTTGAGGCAAGCTGTCCAAAGTATTCTTGAACCACTATGAATTTCTGGTGTTGTGAGCCTTTTCTGTAATTGTGTGGTACTCAGGAAAAAAACACCTAAGAAAAACACCCACTTTGATAAGGCCACAGTTGTTTATTTGACAGTTATAGCTTTTTTGCCCATGGTGGGACTAAGTGTGTCAGTTGAAGCAGGGTTGGTGAGAGTTGGCAGACAGAAAAGGCTTCTGGCAACAGGTGCTGAGGATTTGGTGTTTACCAAAAAACACCTGCCAAGATCGAATGATTGAGGATGTGAAGAAAACAAAAGATTAACAAAAACTGTTGGCATGGTATTATTCACTTCCAGTAAAAGTTGCTCTGCCTTTGGGGAAGAAGTAAACATGGCTCCAAGTAACTCAGAAGTTTTCATGCAGTTTTAACTCCACTGTCTTGGCTCGGGTAAAGCCTCTCTTGGGAGGTGCCTGAATTCTAGTCACCTCGAGAAACCCATCACAGCTGTCCTGCCATGTCCAGTTCGTCTCGCCACTCACCGTCTCATTATGTCTGACCAAGTCTGCACCATCTGCTCCACCACTTTAATTAGCTTACTGCCTAAAATAAGAGTCTTTGTGGGCTT